AAAATTCATAAAACAATGGATTTTGCCTTCAAACCCAATTATTATTATTATTATTATGTATTTGAAAATGAATTATTACCAGACATAATATTATTATATTATACTCTGATAGTAAGGGAAAATTTCGAAATCGAGTTTCTCTCTCTTTCTCTCTCGGAAGCCCCCAGGGGGCATGTATTATACGCACACTTTGAATCTCTCGTCACTGAACTTCGCAGTTTCTCAAGAAAGAGGGAGAGAGAAGAGAGAGAGAAAGAGAAAAAGAGATGGAAATAAGCTATTTTATACTCTTTTTCTCTCTCTTTCTCTCTACTACTAAGTTGTATTTTACAAATAGCGATCCTATCGAATATTCAATTGGACTCGCTCGGACGATTATTCGCTCACTTCCATTATTTTCCCATCTCCTTTGCATATGTGCAAAAAAAAAAAAAAGAAAACAAAAGCTACTCAGAATTGGCTCCCACAATAATTTGCAATATATATATATATATATATATATATTGCACATTCTTTAAAAAAAAGAGAAAGAGAGATGAACGCCTTTGGAAACTGTTTTCTTCTCGTTAAACTGTACGCTGCACACCCTTTGGTGAAAATACCGCTGGTGAAAGTCACGTGATACGCCACGAGCTTTCACGTATTAATAAAAGAATTTTATTTTATTTTTGAAAAAAAATTTTAATCTTTTTTCTATTTCCTTTTTTAACCACTAATAATAATAATAATAATAATAATAATAATAATAATAATATTATTTGACAAAGACAAAAAATTTAATAGGTAAATGATGTTAATACCCTTGTTTGGCCTAATAATAATAATAATAATAATAATAATAATAATAATAATTAATTAAACGAATTTTTACAAAAAAGAATTTTTAGACATCAAAATTTTCATTCGTCATAATTCTTAAAAAAACGCCGAATTTTTATTTATTCAAAACTGCAAATGTCCGAATAAGCAATCGACAGAAAGATTTTGAAGCGCTTTTTCAAAATCAAAATAAGAAATTATTATTAAGAAAATCGTGATTTTTTTGGTGAATTTTAAAAGACAAAATCTTTCTCTCGATTGTTTATTCGGCCATTTGAAATTTCGGACAAATAAAAATTCCGCCGTTTATTAAGAATAGAATAAAAATTTTGCCATCAAAAAAATTATGTTAAGATAAAAAACAAAAATATACTCAATACACGATATTATTAATTTAAATTATAAGAAGAAAAAGAGCAGAATGATTATTGAAAAATCAGATTCTCTAAACATTTAAGTCACGCACATACGAATAAAATTAATAATTATTATATATATATATATATATATACATTTCTTTTTTCAAAGGAAACATCTTGTTAGTATATATAATAATTATCAAGTTTCAAGTTAGTTGAATTTATAATTTTCTAATTAAATACAAAATAAATTCATATTTCATGTTAATTAACTCTCAAGAATATATAGAGAAAGAAAGAGATGGATATAAAATTTTTAACAGCGGAAGTTAAGTAAATTTTCTTCGATAAATATATATATATATATATATATATAACTAGAAAAGAAAAAAGAAGCAAAAGAGAGTGGAGAATAAACCGAACCATAAGGGAACACGTGCAACATTTTGTCGAGACACATATTTTGCTATACTTATCATTCTGCGTATATACTTTCTTCTCTAATTTAATCGCGCGTAAGTTTAAATATTTTATGTCTTTCTACGCGAGTTTAAATAGAAAATATATATTTCCGTTTCTTTCATGTTTTTTTTTTTTATAAATCGATATTTATTGTCACAGAAAAAAATTTTTTTTTTAAATTTATATTTTATATTTCCTTTAATTTTTTTTATATAACTAATTTTTATTTATTCAAATTATTATTTGTTAAAGAAAAAAAATCCCTATTTCTATATTATATAATTTATGTTTGCCGAAAAAATACTAAGATCAATTTAGTTCGATACTTGTATCGATATATCGATACTTACAACGATATATTGAAATATATCGATATTTCGATACTTTCTTCTATAATTTTAAATTATATTATTATTCGAAAATACAAATATTAAATAAAATGATAAATAGAATAAATGAATATTATAATAAACTACTTTTTAGGCAAATATAAATTATATAATATATAAATACTGATAAATATAGTTTTCATGGCAAAAAAAAAAATAATTCAGATAAACATAAAGTTTAATTTATAATTATTAATTATCTAATTATAATTAGAGGCCAAATTTCTATTTCAACGAATTTTTCTACTATAAAATGAAAATGCTTCAAAGCAAATAAATACTATTTAATCAATAGCACGTGTATTCATGTACTGTCGAATAAATATATTATTAATATATATGTATTTGGTAGTATTTGAATACACGTGCTATTGGTTTCAATAGTATTTTTTTCTCTCTCTCTCTCTCTCTCTCTCTCAGATAGTGAATAAATAGGAAAAATACTAATAATAATATATTTTATGTCAGTGTACAGACAAATTTTGGAATACTCTCATTCCAAAACATTTGTAGAAAAAAATTTACGATTTAGTTTTCTAACGATAATTTTTTTTAATCTTCATTGTTGATTTCTGCACTACAAATATATTTCACAATGAAATAAGGCAACCTGAAACAGCTCAACTCAAAAGAATTAAATGTTTTCTTAAGTAAATAAAATTTTTTTTTTAAAACAATATAAATATTTACTTAGCTCAAAAAATTTTTTTTTTATCGAATTCAATTAAATTACAAATATCTGTAATTAAAATTCAAAACGGAGGACGAATTTAATAAAAGAAATATTTTTTGTGTAAAAATATTTAAATTGTTTCCAAATTTTTTTTTAATTTCAACAATTCAGTTAATTTAATTTAATACAAATATATTTTCATCTTGTTTATGAAGGTTTTTTTTTTTTTGAGACCAAGACCCACCCACCCAAGTTGATTTCTATTTGAAGGACAAAATCGACTGCAGTTGACTTATGTCAGAGCGTAGGTGGAAATAAATACACAACGTAAAGAGGCAAGTTAGATTACATAATGTATAATAAATATGTGAAGAAGAAGAAGAAGAAGAAGAAGTGGAAAAATAGAGGGAGGCAAAAAGGTTCACTGTTCGCGGCCAAGTTATGTGAGAGAGTTTCATTCTTCGCGCTTTATAACGCTTTTAATAACGTGTGAATGGATTTATATCGTGTACATACATCTAAAATTTTATCTATATATCGATATTACAACTTTTAGATATATATATATATATAGTTAACTCAATAAAAAAAATCTTTTGCTAAAAAATTAAATAATTTTTTTTTTTATTTTAATTTATTAGATTCAATTTTAAAAAATTGAAATTAGAATAAATTCAAAATAAATAATATAATAATAATCATAATTAAATAATAATACTCTATAAATCTGAATTAGTAAAAATGTTTACTAATTTGAATTAGTGACTCACTTTTTGCTTCTCAATTAGTAAAATTCTACTAATTATTAGTAACTTTTACTAACAATTAGTAAAATTTTACTAATTCAGAAGCAAAAAGTGAGTCACTAATTCAAATTAGTAAACATTTTTACTAATTCAGATTTAGAGAGTAATAATAATAATAATAATAAAACAATAATAATAAAATAAATAACTTGAAATTTTATTAAATATCTGAATAATTTTTTGGTTCCTTTTAGAAACTGAAAATTTGAATAAATTCAAAAAAATTTGATTTTTTTGTGGCTTTTCTCGTATTTTTTTTTTTTAATATTAAAATTCCCTAAAAATTATTTTTAATATAATATATTCAAAATGATTCAAAAATATTTTTTGTTTCAAAAGGTATAAAAGAAATTGTCTCTCTTTTGTTTGCATAGATTTCTCACAGTGATTAAGAAGGAAAAAAAAAAAATTTTTCTTCTTTTTTTGTCAAATGACAAACATTTGTGAAATGATAAAAAAATTTTTAGCATCCGTTTGATTTTAAGGGCAGATAATAATAACAATAATAATAAAAATGATAAAAGGAAGTGGTGCAAAAAAAAAAAAAAATTTCTGTATCAATTTTCTTCATTATTTAAAGTTTTTTTAAATTTATTTTCATATAATAAATTTTTTAAAAATACTTTGTATTTTCTTTATTTATTATTATTTTTTTGTAAACAGAAAAAAAAATTCAAACATTTTTTTTTATTTATAAATAAAAATAAATTCAAATTATTTTGTAAAAAGAATTCAATTTTTTCATTTTATAAACAAAAAAAAAATATTTCCAATTTTATTTCCTTTACAAAAATGGAAAATTTTTAAATTCTCAAAAATTTCCATTAATTTTATAATTTTATAAATAAAAATAAATTCAAATTATTTTGTAAAAAGAATTCAATTTTTTCATTTTATAAACAAAAAAAAAATATTTCCAATTTTATTTCCTTTACAAAAATGGAAAATTTTTAAATTCTCAAAAATTTCCATTAATTTTAAATTATATAATTAATTAATTAATTTTAATTTAAACAGTTAATTATAAAATTATAAATAATTAAAATAATAATTTATAATAAAAAATAATTAATTATAATAATTAATAATTATTATTATTAATTATTATTAATTAATTAATTTATAATAATAATATTTTTTTAAAATAATTTATATAATTAAATTTTTTTAAATAAAATTTATTTATTTTTCCCAAATTTTTGCTTATTCATACGTGGAAAAAAAAATTTTTACCTGCAACAGCGATAAGTTTCACTGAAAAAGAGATATATTTCACTAAAGCAGCTAAATTTTCCCGCTATTACAGAAAAATATTTCCCTATTTCAAATAAAGATTTTTTTTCCATGTAATATTTAAATATTTTTTTTTTTTACATAAATTAAATTTTTCTCCAATAAATAAAAAAAAATAGAATTTCCATTAAAAAATGTATAATAAAAAAAAATATAGAAAATTCCAAGAATAAATTTTTTAAAATAAATATTTCCATACCTGACGTGATTCATAGGATTCTGAAAGATGTCCAGAATCACCTCCTCCAGCTGGCGATTCACCAAATCCTTTATTTCGTTCCATTTTATCGAAAACATCGACAGCTTCGTTTAAATTTTGTTCTTCAGTATTAATATTTGTATTTTCGTTTTTTCCTTTGCCCAAAAGGCGCGAAATCGCACTCCACATTCAATATTTATCAAAACATTTACATGGAAATTTAATTCACTTCACTTTTTTTTCCTTTTATATTAAAATTTTTTTTTAAACTCCACTTAAATATTCAAAAAAAAAAAAAAAAAAACACACAATTTCACATCTGTTCGAATAAACATTACTGTCAATTTTCATCTTTTCTTTTTCATAATTTCCCTATTTTCTATTTTTTTCAATAAAAAAAAAAAAGTTTTTTAAGGTTATAAAACTTTTTTTTCTCCTATTTTCGAAAACGTGAAAAAAAGAAATAAATTTCATCAACAATTTTCTACGAAAATTTGTTAGGTTATGTTCGCTTTAATATTAAAAAAAAAATTTTTTTGACAAGTTTTAATTTTATTTATAGAGAACGTTTTTAGGTTATGTTCATTTTTACTTTAAAATATAAATAAAGAAATTAATTTCTTAATTTTCATTTTAATTAACATATATAGAATTCTCCCTCCCCCACTAGAAAAAAAAATTAACACTTTTTTTTGTAGCCGAATTTCTTTCTTTTATCATTGGAGGATGAAAAAAAAGGGGACCAATTTTGGATATAAATCTATTATCAAATTCACTGACCGTTTTTATATCCATGATACCTACTGAGCGACGAATTCGTGCAAAACCTTTACTCCCCCCCCTTGCCTCTAACCCCTCATCTAAGTATCGATTTTAACCTCAATGAACAAATTTTCACTTGAACGAATTTTTCCTCGCGAGAAAAGCAAGAAAAAAAAAAATAATCCACCAAACAAAAGAAAAAGATTAAATATACTGTCATAATAAAGTATTTTCTCAAATCATCCCAAAGGGAGGAGAGGAAGAACTTTACAGGAAATGAGGGAGGAACGAAAAGGCAAAGGGGAGGAAGGGGAGGTAGCAAAATGGAAAGAAATAGCAAAAACAAATTGAACGGAAAGGGCGTACCTCCTCTTTTTTTTTAATAAAAAAATATTAACCTAAAACAGGGGGTAAAAAAATCACCTTTTTCTTTTGAGAACGAAAATTTTATGTCACGAAATTTATTTATTTTTTCCTCTCGTTTTCTTCCTTTTTTAAACTATTTCACACATATACACACACACAATATTTACGATACAAATTGGTTTAAAATTTTAACACTTCTTTTTCATTCACTGCGACAGAATATAGAATAAGAAAAATATATATATATATACAATATATATGTATACATACATACACACTTTTCGGCACCCCGCGAATCAATTCATTGAGCACACGAAAAATTTTCACCTCGTCATTCGTATATATTATTGAATTGAGATTAGAATTCACGTGAATTTAATAAACTTTAATCTATAATGATTAATTTTAAATTAACGTATAATCATTGGCGTTTGTTGGAAAATTGTTAAATGTCGCGAAAATACTGTCACAATTCCAAGATGAACCGATCATCATGAAAAACGAGAAAAACCTCCAACGTACTGTGTGAAATCAGCTGCTTATTAATCGATTGCCAAACTCTCGTCGTCGTTCGAGAGTCGAGAAAGTCGAACGCGTTGCGCGGCGGGAAATATTCAAAATTCAAAACTTTTCTGCCAAATAATTGTTTTTAATAACTTCTATTTTATAATTTATTACTAGTTAATGTAATGATAATAATAATAATAATAATAATAAAAATAATAATAATAAAAATAATAATAGTAATAATAATAATATAATAATAATAGTAATAATATTAATATAATAATTCTAATTATTTATTTCTAATAATTACTATAATTGATAATAAATCCAATTTCCAGAAGAAAGTTTTATCAGTTAAAAACAAATAAAATAAAAAAATTAAAATTTTGTTTTAGTTTTTAAATTAAATATTTTATTGAAAGGAAATTAAAAAATAAAATCTAATTAAAATTAAATTAAATCTAATTCTATTTTTAGAATTAGTTTAAATTAATAAATATTTTGTTCTATTAATTAGTTAATTTAATTTATAATTAATTTTTCTAAACTTCAAATCATTGCTATTAAAAGCGGGAAAAGGGTCGAGAGCGCTGATTGGCCGATAAACGTTTAAAATCAATAGCGATTGGTGGACAATCCAGTAAACCGGATATTCAAAATTAATGTTCAAATTATTTTTCTCTCCATTTTTTTTTTTTTTTTTAATAAATATTTACATTTAAAAATCATAAATAAATGTTTCTTTTTTCTTTGGGAGAACATTTTTTTCAATTATTATTTTTAAAAAGACAAATTTTCCATTCATTAAATATCAATTTATGAAAATTATACATAGAAAAAGCAATATGGCGACATTTTGTCCATCCGGTTTCACTCCCTTTCTTGCAGTTCACCACTAGATTTTGCTCTTAACGCGTCTCCCGTCATGGCATCTACAGTGGAAGTCGGCGTTTCTGCCCTCGTTTACGATTATTTATTAAAAAAAGATTCATCACTCGCAAATATATTTCAACAAAAAACAAAAGCAGTAAGTAATTTTTTTTTTCTTAATATTGTTGAATTTTAAAAGGAAAATCGTTTCATTTCTTAAGCCAGGAAAAACATTTTTTTTTTCGTCAATTTGCCGACACACCACGTGGGGCGATCAATAAAATATTTTTCGTCTTTTTTTTTGTTTTAATAATTTTAATTGTAATTGAAATTACGTAAATTTTTAATAGAAAAAAAAATTATCTTTTATTTTACACGGGAAAATTTGATTTACTATTTTTTTTTCATTGTTTCTATTTTTTTCTCTGCACCACGAGGTAATATGTTTGACTCGTGTTTTTTTTCGCATAAATTCTATTTTACAATTTGTTTGTTGTTTTTTTTGCTTGTATTTCAAAATATTATCTAGAATTTTGCAATTATTTTTCGTAACAATATATTTTTTTTTTCATTAAAAAAGAAAAGAAAGGAGAAATTAGTGTGAAATGTGGCAAATACGTAAAACATAACCTCACTTTTAGGTTGGAAATTTTTCCTTTGTTTTCTATACATATGTATTAAAGGGGGGGGAAGTACTTTTTTATTTAGTATTTAGCAGAAAAATTTCCTTTTTTTTTTAATTGTCAACTATTTTTTAATCAAAATGTAGAATTTTTTTTTTTTTAAATTTATATTTTCTCGATTTTTGTTTGTACTTTTTTTTTGTAACACGCGGCGTAATAAAATAAAGGATTTCTATTTCGTTAAAATTTAAATATTTATATTTTTTACGACATTTAAATTATTTAAACGATTATTTTTAATAAATATTTTAAGAATAATTTTTGTCATTCGTTTTTTTTTGGAAATTTACGAATTTTTTTCGCGTGAAAAAGAAAAGAACATAACCTCACTTTTTTTCCCCGTAAGGAAAAAATCGGAAAAATTTCTATTCTGTCGATGTTAATTATTATAATTTTAATTAATTTTTTATGACTTTTAAATTATTTCTTAATAATTTTTTAATTTTTTAAAAATATTTTTTTAATTATTATTATTATTAATTCCTATTTTATTTTTATTCTTTTTTTTTATAAATTTCTTTATTTCCTGAATTTCTTGAATTTTTGGAAAAATAAATTTTTTATACATTTTTATTATTATTATTATTGTTATTATTATTATTTATTATCTATCGATAGGTATTATTTACTATTATTATTATTATTATTTTCCTTCCTATTTTATTTTTATAATTTTTATTATAAATTTCTTTTTTTTCTGAATTTTTGGAAAGTTAATTTTTTTTACGTTTTTATTATTATTATTATTATTTTTTTTTCTTATTTTACTTTTATAATTTTTTATTATAAATTTCTTTATTTCCTGAATTTTTTGAAAATTAATTTTTTTTTACGTTTTTATTATTATTATTATTTTTTTTTTCTTATTTTATTTTTATAATTTTTTATTATAAATTTCTTTATTTCCTGAATTTTTTAAAAATTAATTTTTTTTTACGTTTTTCTTATTATTATTATTTTTGTTATTATTTATTAATATTCCTTTTTATTATTATTATTATTATTATTACTATTATTTCTTTTTATTTTAATTAATTAATATTAAAAATTATTTTTATTATTATAAATTTATTTATTTATGAGTAAAATGGGATAACAGGATTTTTTCCCTCTTCTATTATAATTAATATGAATTTTTAATTTAATTTTAATAATATTTAATAATTAAAAAAAAAAAAACACCATTTTTTCCCAAAAATAATTCACTCTTTTTTGTTTTTCAATAGCCATCGTTACCGAAAGGATCGCCAACAATTGTCGATGTTGTAACGCATTATCAAAAGAATGCGACAAAAAAATTGATAATCAAACCACAAAAAAAAGAAAGTAGTCCGGACACAAGTTCCGAAAGCGAGGACGAAACACCACCTCCACCTCCTTCTTCGACAAAGGTAAAAACAGCAGCAGCAGCACCACAATTAAATGGCAAAACACCAACAAAAACTGCTGCCAAAAAAGAAGAATCAAGCTCAGACGATTCATCATCATCGAGCGATGAGGAAAAATTACCAGCGAAAAAATCACCACAAAAAATTGTAACACCTGCCAAGGCAAAAACACCGGCAAAATTAACAAAAACCCCCGCTAAAAAAGAGGAATCAAGTTCATCTTCATCTGACGATGAAGAAGAAGAAGAGAAAAAACCAAAATCCACTCCCGTAACATCGAAAAATGTTCCACAATTAGCGAAAGGTAAAAAAGAAGTCGCCAAAACACCAGCGAAAAAAGAATCAAGTTCCTCGGATGATAGTTCATCAGAGGAGGAAAAAGCGCCGAAAAAAGTGGAAAATGTAAAACCAACTCCCAAGGCTAAGGTTCAAGCTGCCAAAAAGCAGGAAAGTTCCGATGATAGTTCATCAGAAGATGAGAAAGAGAAACCAAAACCAATGCAAAATTTGAAAAAACCCGCTGCTAAAGCTGTTCCAACAAAGAAAGAATCTTCATCAAGTTCCGAAGAGGAGGAAGAAAAACCAGTACAGCCAGTACAAAAGGTAACAAAAGCAACACCGAAAAAGAAGGAATCATCCTCTGATTCCGATTCATCCGAAGATGAAGCACCACCTGCAAAAATGCAAAAACAGGTGAAAAAACCCGTAGCAAAGAAAGAATCATCATCATCATCGGATGATAGCGATGAAGAAGAAGAAGAAAAAAAATCATCACCTAAAAAAGTCACATCACCAAAAAAAACATTAGCACCTGTGAAAATCCCCTTAAAAGCATCGAAGGAATCATCAAGCGACGACGACGACGATGATTCTGACGAGGAGAAAACAAAAAAAACTCCCGTAAAAGTAGTAACGAAAAAGAAGGCAGAATCCTCAGATTCGGAATCGAGTTCCGAGGATGAGAAAAAAGTGGTTAAATCACCAGTGAAGGTGGAAAAAAAGAAGGAGTCATCATCCAGTGACGATAGTAGTGAGGAGGACGAAAAAGTAACACCAAAAAAGAAGGTGGAAGTAGTTAAAAAGAAGGAATCATCAAGCGATGAAGAATCTGAGGAGGAAGAGAAGCCGAAGAAAAAGCAGAAAAAAACAAAGGAAGTAGTGGAAAAAGAAAATTCAAATGAGGAAGAGGAGGAAGAAAAGCCGAAAAAATCATTGAAGCGAAAACATAACGATGAAAATGAGGATGAGGAAGAAGCTTCGTCTATTGCTAAAACGCCGAAGAATAATTATAGTAATTTCGTCAAAGCCGGACATAATAGTGACAAGGTAGAAGAGAGAAGATTATTTATTATTTACTATTTACTAAAATCCAAACGAAACGTTTTCACTACAAGTTTCGATATACAAATCAAATTTTGATACCAATTCCAAGGCATTTCCAAAAAAAAATGTAACGCATGATTATGTTCTAAAACTCAGAATTTTTTCAATTTTGTGCACTGAAAAAAAAAAAAAATGATTCAAATATTCGATTACTTGATTATTATCAAATAAATATTTACTTGAATCAAATAACTTTTTAATTGAGCCAATTAAATAGTATTTTGTTTCAAATACAAAAATTATTAGTCCAAATACAATTTATTTAATTCAAATAAAAATTATTTTGTTCAAATAAATATTTATTTGATAATATTCAAGTAAACGATTATTTGAATCAAAGAAATTTTTTTTTTCTCAGTGTGGAATTTTATTTGTCAATAATTATTTTTGAGACATATTTTTCATTTTTTCGAATTATTATTGTTGCAGAATTTTATTTCAAAACAATTTTCTATATTACAAGAATTTTTATATAATCGAAAATTCACTAAGAATTTTTATTTACTCAAATTTTCATTTAACATAAATTGGGCATTTTAAAGAATTTTTATTGGCTAAAATTTTATTGCATAGAATTTTTATTTTATTCTTTTACATGAATTTTTTCATTTTGTTTGAATTATCGAATCGAAACAATCGATTTTGGCGCGATTTTAAAATTATCAACCAATCACAATTTTATTAGATAATTTTTGATTGGTTGATAATTTAAAAATCGCGCCAAAATCGATTGTTTCGGTCATTTGCAAATTTCGGACAAATGAAAATTCAAATCAATTAGAAATTCTGTTAAATGATTTTTCGGTTAAAAATTCAGCCCAAATATGTTAAATGAAATTTCGAGTAAATAAAAATTCTGACAAATAAAAATTCGAATAAATGATAAAAAAAAAATTGTGAAGTGAATTTTCGGTTATATGAAAAATTCTTGTAATATAGAAAATCGTTTTAATGAAAATTCTGCAAAAAATACTAATTCGAACAAATAAAAATTCGGCTCAAAAATAATTATGGGAAATGAAATTACATAAAATGAAAATTCTAACTGATTTTTAGAATATAATTATGCGTTCCGAAATTTTGCTCTACAAATAGCAAATAAATAATATTTATTTATTTTTCTAAATAATATTTAGAATAAAAATTCTATTAACTCAAAATTTAGTTAAATAGAAGTTTTTGCAAATGAAAATTTAATTATATTAAATTAAAAGGGCTTTTCCCGTTAATAAATAATTAAATAATAATAATAACTAATAACAGTTATAATTAATAATTATTAATTAATTATTATTGTTATTAATTAGTTAATAATAATTAATTAATACTAATATAGGGAAACAAAACTATTTTTCATTTTTTTTTTTTTTTCAATAATTTAAATTATTAATTTTATTAAAACATTTTTGTTTATTTTATTTTCTTTCTTTTCAATATTATATTTTTGTTTCACTATACATATATATAAATATAATTGCTCGTTAATTGATCATTAAAAATTAAAAAATTGAATGTTACCACAGAAAAATACACCATTCCGCCGTGTTAAGGACGAAGAGGTGGATGTGTCTCCAAATTTGGCAAACAATTCATTCGAGGCAAAGGTAAATGCTTGGAAACTATGTATCATGAAATTCAGGTCACTTGCCAGTCCAGAATGACTTTTTTAAAATAATTTTTAAACTTTTTTTTTAAATTTAATTCAAAAAGAAAAATGAGAAAAACAAAATTACAAAATACAATATTTTATTTATTTTGTTCAAAGAGAGTCTAAACTCTATTTATAAAGTCTATTTATTCTATATAATTTTTATTTATTTTTTTTTATTTGTTTTTTAATCTAAAAAAAGTATCTAAAATTTATACAATATATTTATAAAGTAAATGTAAAACAAAAAGAAGAAAAAAAAACCTGAATGACAAAGAAAAAAAAATTTCTGCTTCACTAGTTTCCCTGCATTAACCATGTTTCAAAAAAAAAGAAAATTACAAAATATTTTTTATTCTATTTTTATATTTCACTATTTTTAATTTCAAGACTAGAAAATACTGCGGATAATGCAGTAAAAAAAAAGTTACTAAAAAAAGTAGTAAATGCAGAAAATAAAAAAAAACAGTAATAGTAGGATAAAAAAATAGTAAAAGTAGAAAAGAAGTTGTAGAAGTAGAAAACAAAAAAGTAATAATAGAAAAAATTAAATAGAAAATAAAAAAATAGTAAAAGTAGAAAATATGTAGAAATAGTAGAAAATAAAACATAGTAAAAGTAGAAAAGATGTTGTAGAAGTGGAAAAGAATAAAATAAAAAAAAATAATAGAAAATAAAAAATAGTAAAAGTAGAAAAATATAGTCAAAGTAGAAAACAAGTAGAAAACGTAACAAAATAAAGGTAGAAAAGAAATAGAAAAAGTAGAAAAATATGATCCAAGTAGAAACGAAATAGAAAAAGTAAAAAATAAAAAAACAGTATAGGCTAAAAAGATGTAGAAAAAAGAAGTAGAAATAGAAAATAAATGTAGATCATAAATAGGGTAAAGTAGAAAAAAATAGCAAAAGTAGAAAAATGAAAAAGCAAAAAAGTGAAAATTAAAAAATAATAAAAGTAGAAAAGAAGTAGAAATAGTAGAAAATAAAACATAGTAAAAGTAGAAAAGAAGTTGTAGAAGTAGAAAGCAAAAAATAAAAATTAAATAGAAAATAAAAAAAATAGTAAAAGTGGAAAAATAAAGTCGAAGTAGAAAATAAGTAGAAAACGTAACAAAATAAATGTAGAAAAGAATAAAAATAGAAAAATTAGAAAAATATGATCAAAGAAACGAAATAGAAAACAAGTAGAAAAAGTAAAAAATAAAAAACAGTATAGGCTAAAAAGATGTAGAAAAAGTAAAAAATAACAAAAACAATAAAAGAAAAAAAGATGTGGAAATAGAAAATAAATGTAGAACATAAAAAGGGTAAAGTAGAAAAAAATAGCAAAAGTAGAAAAATGAAAAAGCAAAAATGTGAAAATTAAAAAATAATAAAAGTAGAAAAGAAGTAGAAATAGTAGAAAATAAAACATAGTAAAAGTAGAAAAGAGGTTGTAGAAGTAGAAAGCAAAAATTAAATAGAAAATAAAAAAATAGTAAAAGTAGAAAAATGAGAAAGTAGAAAAAGTGAAAAATAAAAAACAGTAAAAGTAGAAAAGAAGTAGAAATAGTAGAAAATTAAAAAATAGAAAAACAGCCGAAGTAGAATTTATAGTGAAAATAGAAAATAAATAAAATAAAAAAATAGTGAAAATAAAAATAAAATAAAGTAGAAAAAATGAAAATAAAATAAAAAAAAAAGTAGAAAAAATGAAAACTACTTAAAAAATAGTACAACAAAAATATAATATTGATAGTAAAAAAAAAAATAAAAAATGTATTTTCTGTCTTTGCAAAAAAAAAAAGCAACATGGACATGGCAACTGACCAGAATTTCTTTTCTTATGTTTTAGGATGAGAGTCCCGCGACAAATGGTTTTAATAAACACGAGGGAGGAAGGGGCGGTGGTTTCAGGGGTGGTCGTGGTGGCGGTGGATTCCGCGGTGGTCGTGACGGTGATCGTGGCGGTTTTCGCGGTGGTTTCCGCGGTGGAAGGGGCGGTGATCGCGGTGGTGGTGGTTTCCGCGGTGGACGTGGCGGTGATCGCGGTGGTGGTTTCCGCGGTGGCCGTGGAGGCGGCGGCGGCGGTGGTTTTGAGGGACGTAGATCGTGGGGCGGTAAAGAAGACGGTAACAGAGATGGCGGTAATGGTCCCCGTAAATCGTGGGGTGGCGATGGTGAACGTGGCAGAGGAGGAAGGGGCGGAAGAGGCGGTGGCAACTTCCGTGGTGGCGATCGTGGAGGTGGAAATTTCCAGAGAAAATCATTTAACGCCGATTCGCCAGCGCAAAATAAAAAAATTACATTCGACGAATAACAATCGGGAAAAATACTTGAGGTAAGGTGGGGGGAGAAAAAAAAATTATTTATAAAAAAATAGAAAAAAAAAATTTTTAATTTGAAAAAAACCAAAAATTAATTTTTTTCCCCTTCTGTTTTCTTTTTTAGAGAGGTTCAAGGGGATCGTGGGGCGAAAGAGCAAACCACGACCTAAAACACACAAGGGGAAAATCATTTCGTCATGAGAAGACGAAGAAGAAACGAGGAAGCTATCGTGGTGGACAAATAGATACAAGTATCAATTCCATTAAATTTGACGATTAAATTAATTTTTCCGACTTTCCGCATTTTGAAGAAAATATGGAAAAAATTTTCTTTTTTTTTAAGTATTGTTTTCTATTAATTTTTTTTTGTTTTAAATCTCTTGTAAACATTCTACGATGATTATTATATTTAATGGAATGAAAAAAAAAGACGATTGATCGTTATCTCGAGATTTTAAATAAATTTTTTTTTACTTAGTAATACGAAAAACAAAATATATTATATATATTATAAATGACCGGTTTATATTTTGAAAGGAGTATATATTTTTTTTGTGTATCCGAAATATTGTGAATTCGGAAGATTTTTTTTTTTTTTTTTTATAAATAGATCTCGTAAGACGACTGGAATTATTAAATAATTATGGAAAATAATTATTTATTAATATTGCATTTTTTTTTCGAAAAAAAAAGAATTCATTATTAATAGAAAATTATTAGTAATAATTTTTGAATATTTGTTTCGTGTATATTGTGATTTCCTTTCAAATATTTTTGTAATTTTTTTTTTTCTATTTCTAGAAAATATAATTCTTAGATCGAATTTTTTCTGGTTTTATTTTTTTGTCCATAGTTTTTCTCCAAAAAGTTTGGAGAAAAAAAATTTTTCAACAAAAGTTTGTTTGTAACTATTACAACAAAAAAAAAAAGTATTTTTCAATTTAGTGAACGTTTTTGACTATAGTTAATTTTATATTATAAATTATAATATGCACATGTTTTTTCATTCCTTTTGAATAATTCGCGGGATCTTTTTTTTTTTATAAAAAGAAGAAAAAAAAAAGTGTAGACTAGAATTTTTTTTTATGTAACCGCAGTTAAGAAGGGATTTGCACTTCTTTTTCTTATATAATGTATTTTAATGAAAGGAATATTGCATAATTTTAAATTAATTTTCCCGCAAAAAAATGTCAACTTTATTTTCTGTATTGAAAAAAAAAAATATATATATATACTTATAGTGAGAAAAATTTGTCTTTATTTACTCGACAATTTTTATACCTTTAAGTTTCCAGTAAATTTTTTTTTTGTAGAAATTGTTTGAAAATAGAAGTTTTGTTTTTAAAATTCCCGGGTTTTTCAAATATCAGTAACTCGCCAATGAAAAGTTCGCAAATGAATCGATTGATGCGCAGTAGATCATTGGAATTTGTGGAGATGCGCAGTAGTAATATAAGCAATGTAGAGCCACGAATCAGTAATATAAAAGGATTTTTATACATGCGCAGTAGATCTTTAAGTGGCGTATGGCTTCGCAATAGCAATATATAGCTGCGCAGTAGATCTTTAAGGGCTTTATGGCTGCGCAATAGCAATAATAAGCTGCGCAGTAGCACTGTAAGGCAGATACATCTGCGCCGTAGCAATATATACCTGCGCAGCAGTACTCTGAGGCATGTATGACTGCGCAATAGCAATATACGGCTGCGCAGTAGCACTGTAAGGTAGGTATAGCTGCGCAATTGTAATATACATCTGCGCAGTAGTACTCAGAGGCATGTACGGCTGCGCAGTAGTAATATACGCAACATGCATCTGCGCAGTAGTACTCAGAGGCATTTACGGCTGCGCAGTAGCAATAGGAGCAACATACACCTGCGCAGTAGTACTCTGAAGCATATACGGCTGCGCAGTAGCAATATAAGCAACATATACCTGCGCAAAACACTCATACGCACTCTCCAGCCCCCCGTACATCTCTATTATTAAAAATTTTCCATTTTTTAAAGCTGAAAACCACTTATTTTCATCATTCATCAAACTAATTTAATCAAAATATTTTTTAAATTAAATTTTCATTATTTTTTCAACAATAAATGGCTGTAAAAATAATTTTCATCGCGTTTTTCTAAGGAAAATTAGAGACCAAATTAAAATTACAAAAAGGATTCTTCTCCCCCCCCCCATAATTTCTATATATGATTGTTGGGGAGTTATTTGCAACACCGCGCCTTCGTTTGTACCCATTCCCTTTTGATTTGGTCCTCGTTCGGATGGTTTCGAGTGTGGCTCGCGCGGGAGAACAACCACCTTGGGGGCACTCTAGTAGTTGCGATTCGAGCACAGTCAACCTTTGGACATCCACCTGTGAGGTACTGACGGAGGTATACGACCCCGTATATAAGATTTATATGTATATGTATATGGATCATTTTAAACCAACCGGTATTATATATAGTGAGTGTGACATGATATGAACGACGACGACAACGACAACTTGAGAAAACTCTAGTGACCCAGTTCAAGAAGTTTTTTTTCTATTTATTTATTTACTTTTTTTTTTTTTGCTTTTCTATAAAATAAAACCGATTTCCCTACTAACGATTTTCTTTTTATTTTCTCTTTAAATTTCACCCTCGATTCACGCAACATATATATATTAATGCGACCTTCTCTACAACCACTGGCACTGTGGAAAACGATATTTGCCACCTGGACTTGAGGATTATTTATTTATTTATAGTGTGGTGAATAAAAAATAATTGGTTTTTTTTTTTTAATTTTTTGGAGGTTTACAATTTTTTTTTCCTAAAATTATGGAGACTCGACAATTTCTAACTGTGGTGAGTGTTAAATATTATTTACAATTTAATAAAAAAAAATTGAAAACTATTTTTTTAATTTTGACAAAAAATTCAATTTTGATGTTTTCTGTTATATTTTCAGAAAAACATTTATCTCTGGTTTTGAAATTAGATTAATAATTTTTTTTTTAAGTTTGTGGATATTTATTTATTTTAAATACCTTTACTTTTTACTTAAATTTTGATTCTTTTTTAAATTCTCACCGGATTTTCGAAATATAATTTTTTACTATTTTTTAAAAACATTTTTTATTATTTACTCGATAATTTTTAAAAAATGTTAAATTTAATTAATAAAAAATTCTAATTCAAATATAAAGATAAATTTTTTAATTTTTGTTTTAAATTTGTTTTTTAATTTTATTTTTTGTCATTTCATTTTTTTCAATTTTCCTTTCATTCATATTTGTGAATTTTTTCATTTTTTAATTTTTCACAATTTTTGCTATTAAAAATTTATTTTAAATTACTTTTATTTAAAAAAAATTTTTTTTTTGTTTCTGTAAATTTTTGCCACTTTTAATTATTAATTAATTTACAAATTTATTTCAATTTAATGATTTTTTGACATTTTAATTAATTTGTATTTGATTAATTAATTAATTAATTAATTTTTAGTTAAAAATTCTTTTCATCACACAAAAATGTTTTCTACATTTTTTCTTCTCACAAATATTGTTAATTTTGTCCTAGCAATTTTTTACTTTAGTTAAGTGGGAATTTTTTCTTTTTTTTTCATTTCTCGCACTTAAAATCGATGACTTTTTATCTTCCCCACTTCCGCAATAGGGGAAACATAGAAAATTTATTATTTTTATCTAAATTGCATTTTACTGAAAGAACGGATTTCCTCATTAAAAATTTTTTTGTTGTTTAATTTTTGTTTATTAGAAAAAAGAAAATTTTGCAAATCATTTAAATACAATAGAATTTAAAAAAATCGGAATATTCAAAATTTTGAAAATTTGTCGTTGTAGCAATTTTTTTTCTAAATTTAATTCATTTTAAAATAATTTTTTTTTTTTTAATTTTTTTTACAATTTTTCAAAAGAAAACAAAACCAGAGGAAAATGTAGAATAAAAAAAAATTAATAATTTTAATTTCAAACAAATTATAAACTAAAATCGAAAATCAAAATTGAAAAAAATAGTTTCAATATTTTTTTTTTTAGTTTTGTTAAAAAAAATATTTGGTTTTTCCAAATTTTTTTCCGTTTTTTGTTTTCTTATTTTATAAATAAACATTTTACGAGTCTGTTAAAAAAATTAAAAAAAAAAAGTTGCTCTTGGCATTGAAGCAGGAAATGAGCTCGAAGGTAATGATTCGTCCAAGAAAGGCATTCATAAGATCTGAGGTATGCGAACGCACATTCAACGGTTTTAAAGTAATCCGTAAAATTACAAAGCTCTAAAGAGAGAGAGAGAGAAACTCAAGTTGGGTTCGCCTAAGAAAATTTTCTATTCAGAATAAAATTTCTGCGTTTCGTTCAGGATACAAACAAAAAAGAAAAAAAATTGGCCCTTTTGTCCTCAGGTACAAATTAGAACCCAAAAGTCATTTTTTTTTACATCATCATCATCATCATCATCATTTTTTTTTTAATTAACCATTCATTTTCAGATAAGTTTCAAAAAAGGTCAAAAAATAATTTACTAATTCATCATATTTTTCTTTTCCATAACAAGAAAGAAAATTTTCTTTTAAAAAACAAATTAATTTTCTTTCCATGACGAGAGAAAAAAACCTTTTTTCCTCCCAATAAAAATTTTAAATAATTTTTTTTTTGTAATAAAGATAAAAATCTTCCCGAAATATCAAAATTCTGGTAAAACTTTTGGTATCAGAAATATTAAAATTCTTGTACATTTTTTTGTACCAGAAATATTAAAATTCTGGTACAACTGCTTCTACCAGAAATATCAAATTTCTGGTAAAACTTCTTATACCAGAAATATAAAAATTGCGGTACATTTTTTTGTACCAGAATAAATAACAGAATATGCGAGAGAATATGTTAGAATTTGTACCAGAAAAGTACCAAAATGAAAATAAAATTATACCAGAAATATCAAAATTCTGGTACAAGTTTTTCTACGAGAAATATCAAAAAATTCTGGTACAAATTTTGTACCAGAAATATAGAAATTCTGGTACAACTTTTTGTACCAGAAATATCAAAATTCTGGTAAAACTTATACCAGAAATATCAAAAAATGCTGGTACAAATTTTGCACCAGAAATTTGATATTTCTGGTAAAACTTCTTATACCAGGAATATTAAAAAATTCTGGTACAAATTTTGTACCAGAAATATCAAAAGAAAAAAATTTGGTACAAAAATTGTTGTACCAGAAATATCAAAATTCTGGTACTTTTTCTACCAGAAAATTTTTAATTCTGGTACATATTTAATACCAGAAATATCAAAAAATTTTGGTACAAATTTTGTACCAAAAATATCACAATTCTAATACATTTTTTTCTGTTATAAAATAAAAATTTTCGTAAAATAACTTCAGCAAATGAAAAAAAGTGACGAATTAAAATTTTTTTTATTGTTCTTTTGAAGTAAAAAAATTTTTTTTTCTTAGAAAAAATGCAAAAATAAATAAATAATAATTGCATTATTAGTGAAAATTATTTTTATAAATGTAAATTTTCAGCTCCCTAAATAAAATTCTTCTGATCGATAATATATCAATATAAAAATATATTTATCATAATATGTCAATACACATACATAAATATAAATATATATAATAAATAGATACCTATATTATTATATAGATGAGTGATAAATTAATAGAATTTTAAAAGGTTCTCAATATATATAATTTAGATTCTTAAGGCGTAAAAAAATGACTTCGTCACAGTTTTGATAATTTATTCTTGAAACGAACCGCCGAAATGCCTGTGTACCGTTATTGCACAAGGATGAGTTTGATACTTGATATAGTACAAGAGTATACATATATATATGTATATGATATACGTTTACTTTACAATACACTACTGTCTTCACACAGTAAACATTTTTCGAGTGGCTCTGTAAATGTGCGTGAATCATTCCTTACCGTTAGGATGTAATACCTAAGAGAGAACGACTATATACATCCTCTGGACCATTTCAGAAACTTCCTTTGAGGAAGTGAGAAAAAATTTGCTCAAGCAATAATATTAGAAAAGCAAAAATTTTTTACCGAAAATTTACTAGAATTTATGTAGAAGATGTACTAGAATTTGTACCAGAAAAGTAAAAAAAATTATACAAAAATATACCAGAATTTATGCCTATAAAATGTACCAGAATTTACACTAAAAGTATACCACAATTTATGCCAAAGATGTACCAGAATTTGGTTACAAGATGTATGTACTAAATCTACGAGTTGTACCAGAAAAAGGCATGAATTTGTAAAAAAATATACTAGAATTTACACTAAATAAGTACCAGATTTTATTCCAAAATTGTTCCAGAATTTATACCAAAAATGTCCCAGAAATTATACCAAAAATGTACCAGATTTTAAACCAAAAATATATACAAGAAATTATGCCAACGATGTACCGCAGAATTTAAAAAGAAAATATACCAGAATTTATGCCAAACATGTACCAAATTTCATACCAAAACTGTACCAGAATTTAGAAAGAAACTGTACAAGAATTTATGCCAAACATGTACCAGAATTTGGTAAGAAGATGTACTAGATAGAAGTTATACCAGAAATGAATAAGAATTTTTACAAAAATATACCCATTTTCATTCCAAAAATATACCAGAATTTACATAAAAAATGTATCAGAATTCAAATAAAAATGTACCACAAAAAAATTATCACAAAAGTACAAATAAAAAACAGTTTTAGAATTTATGCCTAACATGTGGCAAAATATAGTATTGTTTCTGGTACATTAATTGTACCAAAAATTAAGGGATATTTCTAGTACAAATTTTTGAAATTTTTATATTTTACTGGTACAAAAAGTTATACCAGAATTTTCATATCTCCGGTACAAAAAGTTGAACCAGAATTTTAATATTTTTGGTATAAAAGGTTGTACCAGAAATTTTGTTATATCTGGTATGAAAAATTCTGGTACAATTTTTTATTAATTCTAGTACGTTTTTAAAATATAAATTCGAACATATTTTTAGTATATGCTTTCTGGTACAATTTTTTTATAAATTCTGGTACAATTCTATTAAATTTTAAATGTAAATTCTCATACATTTTTGATACAGATTCTAATAAATTTTTGGTGTAAATTCTGATAAATTTTTGGGTACAATTCTTGTACGGTGTTGATCAATAATTCTGGTACATTTGGTATGTGAAATCTGGCACATTTTTTTTATATCAATTCGTACCAGAATTTTGATATTTATGATTAAAAAAAAAATTGTACCAGAGTTTTAATATTTTTGGTATATAAAAAGTTGTACTAAAATTTTTCTATTTCTGGTACAAAAAGTTGGACCAAAATTTGGACATTTTTGATACAAAAAGTTGTAGCAGAATTTTGCAGTTTCTGATACAAAAATTGTACCATAATTTTGAAAATTTTTGTTTAAAAAAATGTATCAGAATTATGATATTTTAGGTAGAAAAATTGTACCAGAACCATAGTCATTCATACATTAGAACCTAAATCACGTGACAAAAGTTATTTGGATCGCGACCTAATAACCTTGAACCACTAAATATGCATTTTGATTACGAAATGTCTCATTAGCAATAAGTCAATATACATATATGTCTTTCACAACACTTTCTCCAAAAGGAAAAAAAAGATACCTTTTGCTCTAGTTTATATTATTATTATTATTTATGAAAAAAAATTTCATTATTGAAATTTTTACTTATCATTATCGAATTGTAATTAGATTTTTACAATTTTCATCATTATTTTTATTTTTCCATCAAAAAACAAACAAAAAAAAAATAATAAGAAAAGAATAGTGGATTTTACCGGT